AGAGCTAAAATAATTTTTTAAGTTATAAGCTAAAATATAAATTGGATTTTAAAAAATGCATTGAATATATACGTCAGTAAACAAATACATGTATTAGGATAAAAGTGAGTCATGAAAATACATTTAGTATGATGCCTCATATGCAGTAAGCACACCATAATATGTGCTTAATGTCATTAACGTATTAGCAAACAAGGTAATGTATCTGAATTGTGTGTCTGAAAATAACCAACAAATGTTTTGTGCATTTGTTATAAGAAAGTTGGTGGTTAACGGTATAGAGAATTTCTTAAGGGCAAAACTGTCAGTGGGAAGGACCTGAGGATTGAGATTCTCTATCAGAGAATCCAGGTTTTCATCATTTGACTCAAGGTTTTGGCATATCTCCAAAAAGGGAACTGTAGTGGTTTTAAAATACGTACAGAAATTTTTGGACACTCCTCTCCTCAAAAGGTAGTACAAAACTTGGGGGATTTTATAAACCATCACGTCATCAATGAATAGGGAAAGTTTTATTTCTTCCCTTTCAACCTGTATGCCTTTTATTTCCTTTTATTACCTTATTGTGCTGCCTAGGACTTCCAGTACTATGCTTAGTAAGAGCAGTGAGAGCAGACATTTTTTGTAATGCTCTCAATCTTAGGGAGAAAGCATTCAGTCTTTTATGGTTAAATATATTATTAATTGTAGGTTTTATCATGAATGGGTATTAAACTTTGACAGATGCTTATTCTGCTCAGTTGATATAATTATGTGATTTTCTTCTTTAGTCTTTTAACATGGTGGATTATTTTGATTGATTTTCAAATATTAAACCAATTTTACATCACCACAATAAACCCCACTTGGTCATGGTGTATAATTCCTTATACAAATTGCTGAATTCTATTTGTTAATATTTTCTTAAGTTCTATCTTATCTAAATTCATGAGGGATATTGGTCTTTAGGGGTTTATTTGTACTGCCTTTGTCTGTTTTTCCTATTAAGGTAATAACTAGCCTCAAAACCTTAATTGAGAAATGTTGCCTTTCCCTATATTTTCTGGAAGAGATTGCATAGAATTGATATTAATTCTTCTTTAAATGTTTGGTAGAATTCACCAGTAAAACCATGTGGAACTAGAGATTTTCAGGAATTTTAAGATTATGAATTCCATTTCTTTAGTACTCATAGGGCCATTCATATTACCTATTTCATATTGGATGATTGCTATAGTTTGTGCTTTTCAAGGAATTGGTCCATTTCATTTAAGTTGTCAGATTCATGCATATAAAGCTGTAGTATTCTCTTATCATCCTTTGGATGTCTACTGGATTTTTAATGTATCCCCTATTTCATTCCTGATATGGGTAATTTATATTTCCTCTCTCTGTTTTTCTTGTCACAGGTATCCTGCCAGGTAGAGATGAAATTCCTGGCTCTCTACATGGCCTTCTCTGACTACCCAGCATGGAGGGAGAGGTACCTTATCATAGCACCACAAAGGTGGAAGTCTAATTTCCAACTTAACCTTTGCTGATGGGGGTAGACTTGCAGTTTTTTCCATAATATTTGGCTGGAGTAGAGTGGTCTTTTGGATAGAATGAGCAGGTTTTGGTGGGGGGGTTGTTTTGTCTGCATTGGAGTTTCCAGGTCAGAGGGTTCTCCAGCATCCAGTCCAGGCTATATCAGGCAAAGGAAACCTAGTGAATTCACTGCTGTGTCATTCCTCAGGTCCTGTGGTCCCTAGTTGGTTTGCCTTTCCTTCCATCCTTTCAGAGTCTTCTTATGTTTGTATTATATGTGTATACTCATATAATATCCAGAGATTTTAGGTGTACTTAGTAAGATAAATTTTAAAAAATCTATTAATCTTGTCTGGAACTGGAAATCTCACCACCTTGGATTCTGAAAGATATTTTTGTTGGGTGTAGAATTCTAGGTTGGCAGTATTTTATTTCACTACTTTAAAGATGTTATTACATTGTCTTCTTGCTTGAATTGTTTCCAATATGAAATCGTTTCTCATTATTCTTTGTTTCACTGCATGTAATGTTTCTTTTCTCTGGTTGCTTTTAAGATTTTCTCCTTAACACTAGTTTTGATATCATGTGCCTTGATGTAGTTTTCATGTTTCTTGTGCTTGGCACTCATTGAGTTTATGCAATCTGCGGTTTAGGGTTTTCATTAAAATTGGAAAAATTTTGGCCATTATTTCTCTAAATATTTTTTCTGTTCCCTGCTTATCTCCTTTGGAGATTCCAGTTACACATATCAGACTGCTTGAAGTTGTCCCACAACTCACTGATGCTCTGTTGATTTTTAAAAATAATTATTCTTTTCCTGTTGTGTTTATTTTTGTATAGTTTCTATTCCTTTATCTTCGAGTTCACTCTAATCTTTTCTTCTGCAATGTCTAATATGACATTAATCCCATCTAGTGTATTTTCCATGCCAGAAATTGCAGTTCTCATCTTTAGAAGTCTGATTTGGATTTTTAAAAACATATCCTATGTCTCTACTTCACATTTTGAACATATAGAATACAGTTATAACAACCGCCTGAATGTCCTTGTCTGCTAATTCTAATATTTGCATCACTTCTGGGCCAGTTTTGATTGATTATTTCTTCAAGATGGGTCATAATTTCCTTCTTCTTTGAATACCTTTTAAGTTTTGACTGAATGCCAGACAGTGTGAATTTTACCTAGTTGGGTGCTGGATATTTTTGTTTCTATAAATATTCTTGAACTCTGTTCTGGGATGTAGTTAAGTTACCTGGAATCAGTTTGATCCTTTAGATCTTGTGTTTATGTTAGGTAGTTCTGAGCAGCACTAAGTCTTGGGCTATTTATGCCCTATACTACTGAAGCAAGACCTCTCGAGTACTCTGCCCAATGTACCATGAATTATGAAGATTTCCAGTTTGGCTGATGTGAACAGGTGCTATTCCTGTTGTGAGTGCCAGGTACTATTGCCTCTAGTCCTTTCAGGCGGTTCCTTCTTTGGCCTTGGGTACTTTAACCACATGTACACACTGATCAATTCTCTGCTGAATACTCAAGGGGGATTCTCTTAAGGTATTCAGAGTTTTGTATGCAGCTCTCTCCTTTCCTCTATGTACAGCTCTTTCTTCTGTAGCTGCCTTGGGTTTCCTTCAAGTTCCAGATTCATTTCCTCAGCTCAGGGAGACCACTGGGCCCCACCTAGGTTCTCCCTTTCTGCACTGTGGCTTGGAAACTTTCTTAAGGCAGTAAACTGGGATAATCCCATGTCTTAACCTCATTTGCTTTCTGTCTCTCAGCAATCTTTATCCTTTGCTGCCTGATGTCCAGCATCTTGAAAAATGTTTTTCACATGTTTTGTCCAGTTTTTTGGTTATTTCAGGAAAGAGGGTAAATCAGGTCCCTGTTACTCTACCTATGGTGGAGCAGTGACTTGCTTCCAATGAATAGAATGTGGAGGAAGTGACAGTGTGCTACTTTTGAGACTAGAACATAAAATGTATTTTGGCTTCCTCTTTGCTCTCTCTCTCTTTTGGATCAGTTGCTCTGGGAGAAGCCAGCCACAGAATGAGGACATTCAAGCATCACTGTGGAGAGATCCAAGTGGTGAGGAAATAAGAACTCCTGTCAATAGCCATGTGAATATGCCATCTTGGAACTGAATCCTCCATTCTCGGTCAAGTTTTCAGATGATCACAACCCTGGTTGACATCTTGACTACAACCTTATGAGGGACCCGAGCCTGAACCACTTACCTAAGCTGCTTATGAATTCCTGACTCAAGTAACTATGGGATAACAAATGTTTACTGTTTTAAGCCACTGTGTTTTAGGATAATTTGTTATACAGCAATAGACAATGAATAGAGGAAGCAAGTTCTACTGAAGCTGTAGAAGGGATCAGTTGAATTCCTTAATTTGACCCATTTCTCATCCCTAACTCAGCCCAAGTAACAATGCATAGACAGAATCACCACACTTAGTATTTGGAGCATTTATACTCAAAACTTTCCTTATATGACTCTTTTCAAGAAGTAAGTATCTACCTGCTGTGAGTCTAAGGTGCTGTCAAAACAACCAGGGTATGTTATATTCTTATAATATTCTAACCCAAGAAGCGCAAAACAATGTATATTATTTTCATTCTTTATGGTATCAACAGAGATGTTATCTTTCCACTTTCAATGAGGAAAACTAAGACATTAATTAAAAAAGAGTAGAATCCAGTCAGACAGCACATTAATAATTCAGGAATGGATTTATGAAATTTTCTCCTGTGGAAATCTTAAATAACAGGATTTATATCAATTTAATAAGATATGTTAGCAGCAAGATTGCCTCAAGGAAGGAGATGCATAGAATCCCTAGACGTCTTTCTCATCTCTGTGATTCTGAAAGTTATGTAAGGGAGAGAGGGAAGACTTGAATTTTGAGCAGGAGGACAGATAGTTGTCTTTGTGTATGGGAGCTTTGTAAAAACATTATCCCTGGCCCAGCCACTGCCTTCTAAAACCCTAGGGGGAGTTTCACCTGGGTCCTATGGGGAATGTAGAGAAAATATTTTCACGTTTTTGCAGTTAAGGCTTTCTGAGCAGAGAAAACTGGTACTTGGGTTAAAGGACAACTCTTGGAAGTTGAAGGGTGATTGAATAGCCAGAGATCTCTGAAGAGATTTAGCGACTTACTTTCTCATGTGTTTACATTTCAAAGGGAATGAAAGAAGTCAGTTGTTTACATTTCAAAGAATTTTAAATGCCAAGGTTTCTCTCCCTTTCTCAGGAGTGGAGGGGAACAGGTATAGCATATTTAAACTCCCAGATTAATAATTTTGGGGTTCTCTTCTGCAGTACAAACCCTCATATATGCAGGATGACATCTGGCTTTCATGGTGTCACCCAGCTACTGGGTGTTGGGAACCAGTGTAGTTACTGCTGTAAGTAATAATAACTGTGATCTCTAATTCAGAAACCTCATATCTGCTCTCAGGATAAAATAAATAAATACAGATCTACTCACCACAAAAGGGAGGATGCACTCGTGCTGATTTTGTACCATGTATAAGCTGAATAGGGACATACGGCTGGGGCCCATCAAGCTGCAGGCTAGAGAGAAAAAGTTCTGCAGAGCATCACAGAGGTTGGAGCAGATGTCAGCCCAGGAGGGCAGAGCAATATGCACAATGAGAAGCTGCGGAGGTTGCTGGTAAATCTGCGTGAGAGTGGAGGGCCCTTTACCAGTAGTTCGCCCATGATGCATGGCTGCCAAACCAGAGGTGGAACTGCAGTCACTACCTGGATATTCTCTACACCTATAGGGAAGGAAAGAGAAACTGTTGGATTTTATAAAACTGAATTATGTGCTCTGTTGAAACGGAGAACACAGGTCAAGTTGACTCAGTCCAGAAAAGAGTCAGATTTGGTATTAAATCAAGCTTGCCTAGGCTATCCCATGTTAACAACTCCCAAGGGATCTAGATGTTTGCCTGTAATGTAAGAGATGATGAGTGGAACTAGTCAAAAAGTTACACAATCACACTTTAGTCTCAAAGCAAGCTATCTGCCCTCAAAAACTGTTTCTTTATTAGCATTTACTGTACTGTATTGTAATCTATTTCTATGACTGCCTCTCCCACAATATTGTGAACTTACCAAGGGTGGGGTGAACCTGTTCTGTTGACCTTATTCACCAGTGCCTAGCATAGTGTTTGTTTGGTACATCGTAATCCTCAGAAATGAAAATATGACCATATTTTTCCCCCTTGGTTAAAATTCTTTGGTTGTCCCATCTCCTATAGGGTAAAATTTAAACTCTCTTCAACACCCTTCATGACTTGATTGTCATCCTCACTGGAAGCTGATCTTCACCTCAAGGTTCATTGAAATGATACCAAATATACCATACACTACAGTGCATTTGCTCATACTGTTTTCTCTGCCTCCAACACCCTTGCCTTCTGTCTTTATTGGTTGCTTATGCTTATCCCCATGGCTCAGACTAGGAAACAGGAACAAATGAAAACAAAGAACCAATATCAAGAATGAGAAGGGGACATCATTACAAATGCTCAAACATGAAAAGGGTTATAAGAGGATATAAATGAACAGCACTATGCCAATAAATTTGATAAAATGGACAAATTCCTAGAAAATGTATCTAACCAGTACTAATTTAAAAAGTTTTAGAAACCTAAATCGTCTATAAAAATTAAAGAAAGTTAATTGGTTAACCAAATATCTTCCCACAGCCTTTTGGTGGGCAGCAGCCAGCACCAAGGGAGCACCATGAAGGCCTCGGGCACACTGTGAGAGTACCAGGTAGTGGGGTGCTGCCTACCCACCCCCAAGTGCCTCACGTTCCCTTCTTTGCCCCTAATCATGTCCGTGCCAAGTCCCGCTTCTGGTACTTTGTATTTCAGCTAAAGAAGATGAAGAAGTCTTCGGGGGAAATTGTCTACTATGGACATGTGTTCAAGAAATCCCCCCTTTGGCTAAAGAACTTTGGCATTTGGCTGTGCTACCACTCCTGCAGCGGCACCCACAACATGTACCAGGAATACTGGGACCCGACCACTGAGGGCACTGTCACCCAGTGCTACTAAGACATGGGCATGGGGACACGACACCGCGTCCTGGCCCATTCCATCCAGATCATGAAGGTGGAGAAGACTGCAGCCGCGGTCAGGCAGTTCCACAACGCCAAGATCAAGTTCCTGCTGCCCCACCGGGTCCTGCATTGCCAGCACAAGCCACGCTTCACCACCTAGAGGCCCAACACCTTTTTCTAGGTGCAGATCCCTCTCACCCTGAGTCTGGCCAAATAAACTCTTCAGGAACACACACACACACACACGCACGCACGCACGCACACACGCAGGTATCTTCCCACAAAGTAAGCTAGAGGCCAGATGATTCCACTGATGAGCTCCATCAAACTCTCAAAGACCAGGAATTTCAGTCTTAAACAAATTCTTTCAGAGAATCAAAGAAAACACTCCCCCATTAATTTTATGAGATTAGAATAACCTTTGATACTAAAACAGATAAGGGTATTACAGGAAAAAATTATACGATAAGCTCACCCATAAATTTAGATGTAAAAATCCTGAATAAAATATAAGGAAATTTAAATCTGCAATATATAAAAGGAATAACATCTCATGACCGAGCTGAGTTTATTTCAAGAACATAAGGTTGATATAACATTAGAATATCAATCACCGTAATTCATCACATTAAATGATTAAATGAAAAAATATGATCATCTCAGTAGATGCAGAAATAGCCTTTGTTAGAACCCACCGTTTGTGCATGATAAACACTCTCAGTAACTAGAAATAGATGAAAGGAATAATCTGATAAAAGATGTTGTTAAAAAGCTAGAGCAAACATCATTCACAACGGCGATATGTTGAAAGCTTTCAGTATAAGACAAGGAGCTTACTGTCATCATTTCTATTCAGCACTGTAGTGAAGGCAGCAATAAGGCAAGACAAATAAATAAAAAGCATTGCAATGGAAGACAGAAATCTGTCTTCGTTTGCAGATGATATAACTGTGAACGGTATGTAAAAAATCTGAAAGAATCTACAGTTTTATTATTTTCCCCCTAAGGTCTCCTCATCTTTTGTTAAATCCTAGTCTTAGGGATCTGTTATTTTAAAAAATATTAATGTATATGACACCTTTTTAAATTTAATTTTTAGTTTATTACTGATATATAGAAATATAATTGATTTTTGTATGTTGATTTTGTATTTAACAACCTTGCTGCACTCTCTTACTAATTATAACAATTTATCTGTAGTTCTTTTTGGATTTTTTTTTGTTCACAACCATATAATCTGTGAATAATGATATGTACCAGGATATATAAACAAAGTCAGATTATAGCAGCAAAAAGACTATTAATAACAATCTTGTTCACAATTACTCCAAATTGCAAACAACACAAATGTTAATATGCATTAGAATGGATAGATTGTGGTATATTCACACATATAGTGATGAAAATGAATGATTACAGTTACATACTGTTACATACATACATGGATGACTCACAGAAATATAATATTGAATAAAAGAAGCAAGACACAAAGAATACATATACATATAGCATGATTCTATCTACATAGATTTTAAAAATAAGCAAAAAGAACAATTTTTGTTTAAGAATGCCTATATACAAAAAAGCAAGAAAAAAAAGAAAAGAACAAAAACCAAAAACCAAAACCAAAACCAAAACCAAAACCAAAACCAAAACCAACGCATACATAGTGGTAAAACTATGAAAAAAGCAAGGAAATGATTATCGAAAAAATAGGGTACTGATTTTTTCTAGGAAGGAAGGAGGGCATTATGAATAGTAGGGACAACACTGGGGGTTCTGGGGTGTTGGTAATGTTTTATTTCTTGACCTTTATTGTGGTTGCATGGGTGCTTACTTTATAATTATTAAATTTGTATGTTTGTGTTTTATGACATTTTCTATACATATTTTATATTTACCAATAAAAATATTTCAGAAAGAATATTAGGATAACCATAAAAGAAAACATAAAAGAAACATGGTAAAAAGATAGATTAAAAATATATAAAAAATATGTTCCCTCCTCTGAGAACTAAAATGATTCTATATACTTGCTTTTTGGCTAAAGAATGCAGGAAAAATTAAAGCTTCTTTGATTTCCCCTGTGACCAAGAGAAAGATAATCATGGTAATTTTCAGAAACACTTTGGAATTTAGAAAACTTTAAAAATGATCTAAGAATGCTTAGTTAGATGCGTTTCTCAAAATGAATCTGTGAAGTTATTCCCTTCAAACTTCCCTTTTTGGATGGAAGAAGTCAGCATTTGTTCATTCAACAATTTTTCATTGAGTTCCAATTATGTGCTGGATACAGTCGAAAAAATAAATGAATAAATATGCTAATCTGTTGAAGGTAATCTTAAACTAGAAATCCAAATAAATGACTAATGTATTTACCAAGAAACCATAAATATCTTTTAACTGTACTTTTAAATTGCTTGGAGCCAATTTCTACATGAAATGCTGAATCTGACACTGACAGAGTCTCACAAATAGGCTTTGTTTAACTCCCCCTTCTCAACTTCCCTCACATTTAGAAACATTGTCATTTTTGAGTATAGGCAGTCCTGACTTTGCATAGTTCTGATATATACGGATTTTAGTTACTACAGTTTAGTTAATTAACACCAGTCCTTTATCAACACAGTTCAAATTTCAGTTACCATGAAATATTAACTATGAATAGTTACATAAAGTATAAATTGCTTCTAACTCTTCAGACCACAAATTGCTATGTAAATAACAGATGTGCATCATGATCACTGATCAATTATGTCACTTTTGTCAAAGTCTATTGGTGACTGGTCAGTGCAGATCTATTATTCAGTTTAAGCACAGACAGCAAAGTGTGTAGTTGTATCACCTCCTTGTCTCCTAGTGATAAGCCCTCATTACATTTTACAAAAATCAATTATTGAAAGAGGTAATTGGCCAACAAAAATGAAAGTAAAGCAAAGAAACAAAAAGTGATAAAGCTGAAGGTACAATTAGAATTGAACATAAATGGAGTTAAAGAAGAAACAGCTGACTGTGAAAATGTTGTCATTGCTACCATATGATAGGCAGCCAGGGCACCTTAGTGAAGTTGAACTTATCAACACAAATGGAGAAAGTGGTTGTGACCAAAAAGATGAAGATGTCTCAGAGAAAGTATCTCTGGCAAAAACTTCATTATTAAAGGAACTCAGAGATATTTCACAAAATTGAAAGCACAAAGGATAAAATGTTGTAAATATCCAAACTTAGAAAGAAGTGTAATGATTTGCTAAGGCATAGAAAAGATGCTTGTGCTGTCTTAAGTACACCATAACAAAGAAGAAAGCAAACACAAGCACTGTTCAATCTACTCTCGATAAGTTTTTTGCAAACAAAACACTTTAGTTCTTAATGTTTCTAATGTTTTAAATTAGTGTGTAAAATACTAGTTTTACTGATTTACATTTCCCTATACACTTGTAACAGACAGTAAGAGAGCTTTTAAGGTTTTGACAGCAATTTTCAGAGATCAGGAAACAATTGTAATTTTTCCCATTGATTAAGTTCTCTGAACAGGTTTCAGCTTACAGTCATTTTTCTTTTTTTCCCCTCAGAGTTACTTATCCTCAGGGATCTCAGTACAGCTTGCAGTTATTTTTAGATCCACACTAATGTGCAATTGGAAGACTGTACTTTAAATGAGGTAAGAGGCAGCTTTCTTCTCTATATCCTCCAACATATCGCTTAATACATCTGATGTGTGCAGCATATTACTAAACAGGATCTGACTATATTTTTGACCCTCTATTCTCCACTTTCCCCAAGAACGCCCACTCAATGGTTTGCCCCTGCAAACTGGTTAATCCTGGTACTGGGCCCTGAACCACCCCAAACCATCATTACTCCCGGATTAAAAACCTTTCAACGACTTACAGTTACACGTGGAACAAAACAAGAACGCCCACTCAATGGTTTGCCCCTGCAAACTGGTTAATCCTGGTACTGGGCCCTGAACTACCCCAAACCATCATTACTCCCGGATTAAAAACCTTTCAACGACTTACAGTTACACGTGGAACAAAACCCAAACTCCTTACCCTGGCCCCAATGTTCTGCCTGTGTCTCCCGCCCAACCCTCCACGCTCATGCCAGGCCATCTCCTGCCCACCTCCGGGCGTCCTTCAGGCCTCCCTTTGTGGCTCCCTCTCAGGACGTTCTTTTCGGAGTACCCCCCTCCCCCCATTAACCCTACTCATCCTTTAGGTCTCAGCTTAATAGGTTAAGGCCCCTTTTCAGGCCCTCATTACAGCGCCGACCTTATGCTTTTATAGCCCTCAGGACACTTTGTCGTGAGATAAACGATTCAACGGTCCTCCGCCCTCAGGACCCCATTAAAACTTTCGTGGGCCCTAAGCACCTTTGCCTTCGTGAGCCCCTTCCTCCATTAACAAACAAACAAACAAAAAAACCCGATTAAATTAATAATAGATTTTCGTGAGCCTTAAGAATTTCATTTTTTTTTCCTGAGAAAAATTTAAAACATTTTCTTCGACCTTAAGGGTCCATCGTTTTCTTCTGACTTTAAAAGAAATTAAAACATTCTCGTGGTCCCCGAAAGTCTCGTGGGACCGAGTGCGGCGCCTACCGTGCCCAGCGGAGCAGCGGCCGGGCCCTCCGGCCTGCGGTTCCCGCGGGGGTAGCTCAGGCCGCGCGCCTCGGGCCCGGCTTGGCCGCGAAGAGACGCTGCGTCTGAGCCTATGGCCTTGAGCCTGAGGGCGCCAGTCCCGCTCCGGCACCTGCCTGAGAGCAGGCCCGAGCCCGGCCTTCGAGGCGCTGCCCGCGCTCGAGCTTCCTCCCTCCTCGAGGCCTTCAGCGCCTTCTCCGGCCCCGAGGCGTAGAGAAGCGCGGATGACCCCCTGTGTCGGGGAAGGCAGAGACCTCATTACCTGCCTTCCTGGATCCCGGCGGGCACCGCGCGGCCGGAGGCGCCCCCTCAGGCGGCAGCGGCTGGGCGGAACGCTCACTGCGGACGCTGCAGGTCCGAGGGCCGCCGCGGGTTCGCTTCAGCCTGCACCTCAGGGCGCGGTCTCCAAGTCCCCAGGCACCCCAGGAACAGTCTTTCTTTGGCCCTAAGGTAGAATTTTGGATCTCTGATGGAAATATTGTACTAAACCTGACATTTCCTCCTTAGCTATGAAACATTCCAGTAGCAACCCCACCGTGTTCTTGGCGCCTTTTGGGGGGAGGGGGAGGGGCGGCGGCCGCGTGTTCTTGGCTTTAACCTTTCCCTTCTACATCGTTCATCCGCTCATTCAGTTAGTCACTATTGCAGTCAGTAAACACTGAGGTGGACACACTATGTGCCAGGCACCGTGCTAGGACTGGGGTACAGTGGATACACGGCACTCACGGAAGTTAGTTTAGTCTATCCTCAGGAAGTTCTTTTAAGTCTTTTCAGACCCCTACATTCCAAGAGAGTCTATCCCTCTCTAATACTTATTCTCACTTACTTGAGTTTGATTTCTGTAGACCCTTTGACAAATCCCAGATAGGGTAGAAGCGTCCTGGTTCTTAGCAGCTGGTTGGTCTGGGTCTTCAACTCTGTCTGGTTGAACAGAAATTCTTCTCTGAATTAGCCCACAGGAGAGGAAAGGATAATGCTAGTACCAAACCAGAAATAGACAAACAGTTTCTTCTCTTTTCTGCTTTATTATTATTTTCTTCTCAGTTCATTACCTGAGATTACAGGCAGGTTGGGGGTGGGGTGAAGCAGTGGTTCAGGATAGGTTAGATGTTTGAACAGGAGAAAAGTCACCTGCCTATGTTCTAGTCCCACTAAACCATTTCTCTCCTCTCAACTATTCCTCAGGGTAAAAACAGAGATATTTAAACCAAGAGTCCTTTCTTAAACACTGTAATCTGATGTCCAACAGAGTTCCTGTGTTTCATATTAAGGGATAGCTTCTCAACAGCTCTTCTTTCCCATATAGACAAATTAGTCTTCCTGTCTCTAGTCTCTAGATTATCCTTGTCATTGATGCTAGAATTATCCTTGTAAAAATATTTTGATCATAACATTCCTTGGCCTAAAAACTATGGGTTTTTGTTTGTTTGTTTGTTTGTAAGATCTATTGTAATTAACCCTACCTTTCTTACCAGGCTCAAGGCCAAACTAGCCTTACTCCAAAGCATACCACCCACCACTCCCGGCTAGAATGGATTTCTTTCAGTACCCTCTATAAGTTGTTCCGTTCATATGGAGTAGCATTTATTGAAAAATATGGAAAGGACTGTGCCAGCCATGGGGGACTATCACATCATTGTCTTAAGAATTATTCTCTGAGGGTGACAAACTGTAATGGCCCTGAGACAGCACCTTGCAGACTTTCAACTACAAGGAGCATAATTGACCAAGGGCACCAGCTGCTGCCTTAGAAATACACTGCCATGTTTGCATGGAAGTCACTGTTCCCACAGGATGCCCCCAGTCAATGACTGAGTATGGTGAAGATTCCAAAACAGACCTGTTCCTGAGAGATACAGAACTTGTCTAATGGGCAACTTTGGCTTGATAATTGCCCAACAGCCTTGCAGAACCTTCATGGTCTAGGATGCTTCCTTCTCTTTCTTTTTCTCTTGGGGTCAGGCTTGCATCACAATCTGACTGCTCTTCCAGCCTTTCTTGGCCCCTTCGCTGTTTTCTCTAACAGGTTTTTCCTCTAATAACATCTTTGTACGTTTAATCTTGTCTTGGTGTCTGCTTCTTGGAGGAGACTAACACCTGACTATTTGAACAATGTAATAAGCACAAATACAGGTATTAAACATTTACCAGATATTTACTGACTTCCTGCTATATGCCAAGCACTGTGCTAGACTCTGAGAATACAATCATCTCTGTCTTCCTGAGGCTTAGTCTATGAGAGACAGACAAGTACTTAGGCACTGACAATGTAGTATGACATGTGGTACAGTAGAGAAAACACGAAGTTATGGGAGCACATAGGAAAAGCATATATTTGGAGAACTGGATGTGCTTCCTGGAGAAAGAGATTATCATTCTAAGCTGAATCAACAAAAGTAAATAGGAGTTAGCCTAGGAGTACTGGAGAGATCATTCTCTTTTTTTAAAAAATGTAATTTTATTAATATTGTTTTTTACATTCTAGGATTTTGTTGCAGAACAGTTGTGGGGGAGAGGAGAAAGGAAAAGAAAATGGGATGGAAGAAGGAGGAAGGAGGAGGGGTGTGACTGAGGCTTGCAGCACCTCCCTCATTCCCACAGGGGAGACTGGGGGGCTTCCAGTGGTGGCCTGATCATTGCTGGGCTGGTTGCAGATATCAGGGGTGTGTGGCAAAAAACCCTCGCCCCCCCACCATCCCAGCTCGGGAATCTGGGGCCCTTCTTACTGTGGTTGGGTGGTCGCTGCTGGGCTGGCAGCTGGTGTCGGGGGGGCGTGGCTGAGGCCCTAGGACCCCCACCACCCAGGCTCAGGAGAGCCCAGGATGCTTCCTGCGGCGGTTCTGGTGGTTCCCGCTGGGCTGGCTGCCAGTGTGGGCAGGGTGTGGCCAAGGCCCAAGGCTCCCCACCACCCCAGCTGGGAGAGCTGGGGTGCTTCCTGTGGCAGCTAGGTGGTTGCTGCTAGGCTGGCTGTGGGTGTCAGTGTGTGGCATGGCCGAGGCCCTCGTCCCCCACCCTCGGGATTGGTTGTGGGTGTCAGGGGGCATTGCTGAGGCCCCTGGCCATGTGCTGGTCCCTTGCAATGACTCACTTGCCTCTGAGTGGCTTCTTTTTTTCAGTTATTGTGGCTCCTTACTCTTATATGGGTCCACAGGAACCCTATTAGTGGTCTTGATGCCCTGGGGGCCACCATGGCCCTCTTCTCCTCTGCCACCTTCAAACAACTTCATCCAAAGGGCACAGCTATGGCTTTTGCTGGTTCCTGCTCCATGTGCCCAGCAGCTCCAGCCTGGACGCGGCTGGGGCTTGAAAAGGTCAGAGCAGTTTTTTCTTGCTCTCATCATGGCTTCTCCCAGCTTCATGCACCCCGTAGTTCTCTTCTCCTTTTCTCTTGAGCTCTAGTGTTCCCAGCTTGGCTGTCATTGCTTTTTTATAGTTGTAAATTGGTTGATTTGTGGGAGAGAGTGATGCTGGGGACCATCTATTCCACCATCTTGACAGGAAGTCCTCCTGGAGAGAACATTCTACCTGCCCTAAGGGGAATGGATTGGGGGCTGAAGTTGGGGTGGTGGTGGCTGAGCAAGAGGGAAAGACTGGAGTAGGAAGTAGCCCAGGCAAGAGAAAACAGTGGCTTGAATTAGGGTGTTGGGGGTGGGGGAGGAGAATGCAGTGATGTGAATGGAGGTATTTAGGAGTTAAAGTGAACAGATCTTGGTGATTAATTGTATTGATTAGGAAGAATACAGAATGACAGGGACTAGAACATAGTGAATAAATGCAAAGCCTCTGGCTTGGACAGCTGTAAAGATTGTGGTGCTATATACAGAGACAGGGAACATTGTTCTACCATCCACCCAGTTATGCAGGCTGGTGTAAGGGTGAGGATAACAGTTCAGTTTTGAACATGTTGAAATTAAGGTGCCCGTGGTTACATCAGGTGGGAAATGTAGAATAGGCAGTTGCATGTATGTGTCAGAAACTAAAGAGAGAAATATGGCCTGGAAATGTAGATTTAGGAAATCAATATTAATTTAATTAGTATAAATGAGACTGTCTAGAACAGTGATTCTTTTCAGAGTGGGGATCTTAACTCCATTAATGGGTATTAAAATCAATTTAGTGGGCTGCAAACAGTGTTTTGATAAGTGGAATAGAAGAAAATGCAATACAGTAGAAAACATCAGGGTTTAGCTTCTAAAATAGAGGTAAATATAGTGTAAGTGTAACTTTGTGAAAAGTTTATTTCACTAATATACTTTAAGTGTTTGTACTTAAGTGTAATTAGATAGCAGTGTAAAATGATCCTTTTATTATGTGTTGTCAACATTTTTAAAAAAGATTTTTGAAAGAAAATCAAAAAGATAAAAAAATAAATACCTAAACCATATTCACAGAAGGAATTAAGGCCTATACTAGATTGCTGAGGAGCAGCTAAGAGGAGACATATATCGGTGTCAGAGGAAGACACTCAGGGGAGGGTCCCATCATGTCAAGGTTGGTGTTAGAAGATTTCAGAGAGAAGATTTGAGGTACTGATCTCAAGTGTGCAATTTATTTTCTAGACTAAGTAATTTGAATTCAGGGACCATGTCTTAATCATCTTATTAACTCTAATACTTAGCAAAATAACTATTGAATAAAACTAAAACTTGCACTTTAGAAAGATTATCCTGATGGTAGCCTGGAAGCGGGGAGATGGCAGTCCGGAGGCAGGGTTTTTTGTTTGTTTTGTTTTGTTTTAATGAAACAAACTGTTTAATGAACAAACTGTTGCACAGTTGGGGTGAACAATGATAAAGTCCTGAACTATGTGATAATGGGGGGAAAACAGTGGATTTAAATTATCGATGAGTCAGAATTAGCAGAACATGGTGACTGCTTATATAGGGATGTTGTAGCCAGGTTCCAAGTTGGCCCACTGAAATCCTTGTATTCTACTTCGTGTAGTCCCCTCCCACAGGGCATCAGGATCGGCCTGTGTGACCAATAGAATATGGCAGAAGTGATTGTATGTTGCTTCTGTGTCTAGGTCATGAAAGACAGTGTGGCTTTTGCCTTGCTCTTTTGGATCACTTGCACTGAGGAAGCCACCCTGTGTTGTGAGACATTCAAGGAGCCTCTTGGAGAAGTCCGTGTAGAGAACATCTGAGACTTACTGCCAACAGCCAGCACCAATTTGCCAGGGCATGGAAGTAAGCCATCTTGGAAGCCGATCCTCCAGTCCTAGTCAAGCCTTGAGATGATTGCAGCTAAGCAATTACTCGGTTTCTGACACAGAAATTGTGAGAGATAACAAATGTTTATTGTTGTTTTAAGCCACTAAATTCTTAGATAAATTTGTTGCATTTGTTTTGCAACCGAGATAACTAATACAATGGGGGACGAAAGAGGAGAAAGCAAGGATTACCTGCAGGGCTACAAATTAGAGGACTAATTATTTAAAAAGAAGCCGGAGTTGGAGGAGGAAGATAGTGGGTTATGTTCACTTCCTGTGTTTGCCTTGTTTGTAGGATATCCAAGTGGACATATCCACAGGCAGTTTTTGTCCCTCACCCTCAAAGTCCTACTCATCCTTGAAGATTCAGTTCAAATGTCACCTATTCTGTGAAAACTTCCTGATTTTCTCAGGCAAAACCTACCCATTCCGTGCACTTATTGCACGTTATTATAGCAAATATGCATCGCTTTCTATTGCAGTGATCTATTTGCAGTTATTTGTTTACATTGGGAGCCCCATTATACTGTGAGCTCTCTAAGGGAGACAATGATTTTTAGTATTTTTTGTATCACTGTATCTTTGTTTTGTTTTGCGTTGTGCCTGGCACAGAGGGAGCTTTCATTAAATGCTTGCAAAAAGTAATAATTTTAAGAAACTTGGTGCGTATACCCATTTACCCACATATTTTCCCTATTAGTACTGATATGGACATTTGAGTTTTGGAGAATGGCCAGAGCAAACCCGCCACTAAAGGTACTTGAGTGGCACCTCCAGCCCACTTCCGAGATAGAACTCCCACCTACACGGGGACTGGCTCCGCCTTCGTCTGGATTGGGCGGCTTCTCCCCTCGCCTCTACTCAATCCCGATTGGCTACAGGAAGAAAGAGGCTTTATCATTGGTCCCTTCTTAAGTGGGTGGAGCGGGGTTGTGTTTGTCCAGCTGCCTCAGGCCGAGCCGGGCTAAGCGTACCGGAATGGGGCTGAGGTCAGCGGCACCGCGGCCCACAGCTCAGGCGGCAGGGCGCGCCCCACCCGGCTGCCGGGCGGAGCCAGGGATGCCGGCCTCTGTCGCGCGGCCCCGCCCGGGTCCCGGGCCGTCTCCCGCCTCGCCCTTTCCGCTGCTGCTGCTGGTGATGCTGAGCGGCCGGGTGTCCGGCCGCGTCCCGCGCTCGGTACCCAGAACATCGCTTCCCATCTCTGGTAAGGCGCGGGCGCCCTCGGCACTCGCCGCGCCCAGGCCCCGCCCTCAGGTGCCCACACCACCCGCCCTCCTAACCCGGGCGGCAGCACCCAGGGCCCCTCAGCGCGGCGCAAACCGGCCCGCGCTGCCCACGCCCAGCTCCAGGCGGGGCGAGTCTCGCGGATGCTTCACCGCATCCCGGCCCAGGCCTCGCGCCTCAGCACCCACGACACGCCCAGGCTGCTCCAGCGGGCCCTTATTCCCAGAACCGCAAGAGTTCAGACTCGGACACCTAGGTCCAGAGAGGGTATGGGGGTTTCCCGAGGTCGTTCATTTAGAAGTTCTCTCTCCCTTATTTCCTTATTCCCCGCAATCTACCTGTGTCCCTCACTCCAGTTTGAAGCTCATTCTGCCCCCAAAGCCATCAGTCTTAAGTTCTACTCCATTCTGATCCCCAGCTCCGCATTTCCATCTTCTCGAATTCATTTTCCTATACTCAGTTCTATGCCTCTCTACCGCCGCCATTCATGCCTCTTGCCATGCTCAACAGCCCTAATCTCCCTAACTCACTTCCTCGACCCCTTGCATCTCTGACACCAGCTCCCATTATTGGATCCACCTTAACCCTCCTAACTTCCTCAACCTTCCCTGCTCCCTCTGCCCATTCCCTACATTGAATGTTGGTAAACCATTCAATGAGTTGATTTAAAGTTCTGCTTAAATGATTTTTGAAGGAAAAAAGGAGAGAGACATGATTCTTTGAAAAGATATGGAAGAAGGCGGGGGATGCCACAAGGTTGAGAGTGGTCATTGGAGTGGTTCACATTTTAGAGACTTTCTGCTGAGGTGGGCATGGGCATGGCTGTGGACCTTGTTTTCTTCTTAGTGGGCATTGAGTGTTAGCACCTCGGGCAGACAGAACCAGTGAAGCCAAGGATACAACCTGTTGGCAAAAACTCACAACTGGGTAATAGTTATTCAGAGTCTAAACTCAGACCAGTGACATACAGGGGTGCTATGAATCCAGAAAGCAAAGCTGTGGTCAGAGGCTGGGGTTTCAGTTTTTGCCAGAGTAAGAGCCACAAAATGAGTTGAGGTTGCCAGGCTGAGCTGATGTCCAGGAATCCAGAGAGGAAGGTGAAGCAAAGTTGGGGATACAGAGGAATACTGAATGATCCAGGGCTTATGCTAAGCGTGAGAGAGTGGGTGGGATACAGCACAGAGATGAGTATGGGTGTGGGAGGATGGGGTCGGTGGAGCTCACATCAGCACATCTGTGAATGAATGGGCTGGTGGCCATTCTACCCTTGAGTGTACCTGAACAGATGAAGTAGGTAGCGCAGAGCTATGTGCAGGGGTAGAGTTGCCGGAGCCAGAGTTTGAGCTAAGATGGTAAACTCATGCTAACTTATTTGTTATGATCTTTTTTTTTTTTTTTTTTTGTCTTTTTGTCTTTTTTCCGTGTCCGGCAACGGATCGCAACCCTCAGTGTTGCCCCCGTACCGGGCCGGGGACCGGCAACGGGATCGCAAGCCTCGGTGTTGCTCCCGCGCCTCGCTCAGCCAGTGAGTGGGAGCCGGTCTGTATGTGG